GACACAAAATGATAACTAGTTGTTAAAGTTGGACTAATTAGACAGCTATGTTGAAGTAACGTCAGACATATCACAGCCACCTAGATTTTATCAAATAATAAAGATCTACTCAGATCAAATCATGTAAATGAAAATATCTAGGAAAATCTTTGTTTGAGGGGTAGGCAACCTTAATAATATTCTGAAGAGACATGAATTCTCCATTGAATATCGGAATAATAAACTGGGTGTTCCATTTAAAATAAAAGAGTAACATGCTTTTAAAGGTGACCAATGTTCAATATTAATTTTGTCTCACCCTGTATATCTTTTTGGACCAAGTTTTAATTTGATTTAAAGTACAATAGTAATTTAACTACATATTAGACTATACCGGGTAAATTCCAATTTAGGTAGCCTTTATTGTAATTTAAAAATTGTTCTTTATTTCTAGAAAATGTTAAATATGTCAAAAACCTTACATTTTAGTCATATACTTCTCTTATAAAACTCACCTTTATTTTTCTCCCAGAATCCGAAAATCAATTAATATATAGGGTGTTCCATTGCAAAAAACACAACTTTGATATGTAACTTTTTTTGGGAACACCCCTCTATATTTTTAAAAAGTGCTCTGAATTAACCTGCATATGCTTACAAAATTTCTTTTCAATACAATCTGTCGTTCTCCTTGGAGCCTCCGCGGCATATGAGAGGCGCCACCCTGTATTACTGAAGTGAAACTTCTTTACGCGTGCTGGGAGTAAAAATTCAAGGCCGTAACACAACACGCGACACGACAGGCGAGAGGATAAAAATTTGGTAAGTTGAGTGATTGAACCAAGGCCAACTTGACCGTGTACGACACGTGTCATTGATTGACAGTTACTTTTTAAGTAAGAAACGTCAAAAGTTGATGTCGTTCGATCGTACAAGGTTCCACCCTGGAAAGTTGGATACCATGTTTTGTTTGCATTTTCGTCAGGCTAGGACTAAGTATTTGATATTGAAGAATAATTGGGGGCGGGCTACAGGATGACAGCCCTCGACGTTTCGAACCGATGCCTAATGGACTGTGTTCACTGTTTGAACCCCCATGGATTATCAGCCCGTTTGTAAAGGAGCCTCTTAAGCCGCTCAGTATTAATGGACGAAATCATCAGGATTTTTCCTATGTTTTTCCTGTTCTCCAAGTTCGGGCTACCGTTCACGTAAAAAAATTAGGCAATGGATCCCGTCAATAAAAATTTGCAAGTGGTCAATGTAATGAGTTGGCGGACTCTCTGCCGCATGTCATATACGTAGTGGTCTATAAACTAGATTGCTATTTATTTAAATGTGTTTTGTAGTAAACTGATCATACTCCAATATTTTGTCTGTATTCTTAATACTTAATACTTTACGCATTTGAAATAAACTAAATTTAATAAAATAAAAATATTATAAACCATTTCAATTAAAAATAAATAACTATAATTCTCATTATATTTTTATATCTCTTCGAAAAACAATAAATAAAGCTGGGACACAATAAAAATGCCACAGACCGGTTTGCTAGCCATCTGTGTAAAGGTAAAAGCAATAAATAAAAATGTGTGGTACAGCGTTAATTAATACCAAATAAAAATACTTTTCGTAATGAAAATCCTTAGGAAGGTCGTTAAGTACACACGTGTGAGTGTATAATCCTCGATAGTACAAATATGTGTGTCAAAATCAATCTTCAATATTGTCAGAAAATAGAGATGAGAATAGAGAGATGATTTTTTAAAAACAATCGATAGCTATTTGTAAGTAATTATAAGCATATCATTTCAATATACCGTATGATCGAAAAAAACGGCGTCCAGTTGGCTGGGAAATGACGATCAATGACATTTTCCATATAAATTTACATATAAAATGACAGCGATCTGCATTTCATAGCCATCGCTGACGCCGTTTTTTTTTCGATCATACGGTATTTATAGTAGGAGGAAGTCACTCCGACGAATTAGAGAAGAATCGCCAAAAAAACACCCCAAAAATGAGGGAAAATAAAAACTGTGGAATAGAAATGTACAGACAATTTAAAGACTACTTTATCATCAAGGTCAATCTTTCCTCGATAGTTACTTTTTTGGTTAAAATTGTAGTGTTTTTGAACAAACTGTATTCGGAGTTCCCAAAAATTCACGGGCTGTCAAATGTCACCGTTACAGTATAAACTATAGTTTGTTCAAATAATTATCTTAATAACATTTTATCGAATATCCATAAGACTATTAGAAAAACGGCATGTGTGGAAATCACTATATATTATATATGTTATATATCTAATACAATTTTAATAATTCAGGGTATCCCATTAAAAAATATGTCGTTTATACTAATAACTATACTAAATTGTTTCTGCAGCGTATGAAATGTTTGCTAATACACACTTGACTAAAAATGATACAATCTGTTAATTCAATGCAAGCTCTATCTCAAAAAATAAAAAGAAAAAAGTGGGACAAACATAATAATGGTAACACTCTACCTGCATATTTTGCAGCATGTATTCAGCCATTCAGCGAACCAAAATATAGTGGATCGCATAGGAGGACCGACTTTGTCAGGTCAAAAAGAAACCCGTTTAGAGTTGACATCAGCTGAAGCAAGTTTAGGCAGTCTTCATAACAATAGAACATTTTAAAGAATTTTGGAAGTGGTATGTATAGTAACTAAAACATAAATTTAGTACCTATTTCAGGATAGTTATACCACAGGTTATAATATGTCCTAAAATACATACAAAAATATGTCTAACTAGCCAATAAAGCCTTTTTTAAATTGTCTTTAAAATATTCCTTGTAACTTCAATTTTTTTGAAAATTTCCATCCAAAAAGTTATATACAGGGTGTTTCAAAAAATATGTTCCATCTCTCGTGGGAAGATTTCTCGCGTAAAAATAGGAATTATTTTTCATATCGACCTAGGTCCGATTCTGCTTTGTTTCGTAGCTACAGGGGGGTTAAAGTTTTATTTTTTTTTCGATTTATTATAATTTTCTTCCAAGTGCTTTCAAAGATTTGAATAAAATTTTGAGGGTAAAAGTTACTATACCGGGTGTTGCATCGTCGAGCGGGACATAGGCTATCCCATGTAAATTTTAATGAGGTCAATTATTGGCATTTTAGAGAATAATTCTATTTAGGTTTATTGAAGAGCACTAAAACCCACATTCAAAAGAATAACTTTAGATATTTTTGATTAGCCCGTTTACGAGTTATAGCCGATTTCTTTTTAAATATTTCTCCTTTCTTATATGGCCCTGTATTTACTTATGAGCACCAGTCAAGATAAAAGATAACTGTCAAATGAAGTTGTCATTTCAGAAATTTATCTATTTAGTGCTTTATTATTATTATTAAAAACTCATACCTACAACGAAAATATTAGCCATGAATTACACTACCGAAGAAAAAGTATTGATGATTAAATGGTATTATCAAGGAAATAGTTATCAAAAGGTGTCGGACATGTTTGCTGCTCTGTATCCGAATAGACCGATACCTGGAAAATCTAAAATCGCAAGGAATATCCAGAGATTTGAGACCAAAGGTACCCTAATAAATAACTGCAGATGTGAAGCAAGGCAGGAACAAAGAGAAGATGCAAGAAATGATACCGACTTGGAAGTTTTATTGTGCGTGGAAGAGAACGATGGAAAGATCAGCACAAGGAAACTTGAGGATGAAATAGGAATAGATCACACTACAGCGTTTCGAATTTTGAAACGACATAAATACTATTCCTTCAAATATGAAAAGCACCAAGAGCTACGAGATGTGGACGAAATACGGCGGCAGGCGTTTTGTTTTGATATAATGGAAAGAGCAAACACGGATAGGGAATTTTTAAAAAACATATATTTCACTGACGAACGCACGTTAACCTTAAATAATGAACCCAATGTTCAAAATTGATATTGGAACAAAGAAAACCAACACAGGTTTGTCGAAACAAGAACGCAATATCCACAGAAAGTAAATGATTGGGCAGGGATATTCGGACACAATATTATCGGACCATAATAATCAAACCAAACACATCGAATTGTTTAAGTGATATTTTCAAAAGTTAATAACTCGGAAACGGTTGCTTTGAGCTTTGAGGTAAATTGTGTGTATTTCGATTTTTGCTTAGAATTGAAGGTAGAACCGAAATATCCAATAATATACAGGGGGTTCTATTTAAAAAAATGGTACTTTGATGCGCCACGACTTTATGAACGACCCTGCATACTTAAATTTATTACTGGCTAATAGATATTTAAAAATCCTATAACTTTTGTATTTAATTTTTTGCGGTACCTCCTATATTTTACCTAATAATCGACCGTTTCCATACATAAAAGCGACCCTGTATATCATCACTGTATATCAGCATATGCAAAATAAGTCATAGAAGAGATCTGGTAAACATTATAAGCACCTCGTCAGAATTTCGCCATTTTTATTTTTTTAGTCGAAAGCTCTATTGCTATAGAACAGTTTAAAAGAAAAAAATCCTTGGATGAAGCACTTTTGAACCAAAAAAATTCATTTAAAAGTGTCTAAAATGCTAACCAATCTATCACAGTAAATTATTAAAATATAAAACCACAGCTTAACACCCTTCGCAAAGAAAAACTAACCAAAGCAACCCAAATCCTAACCAATCTAATAATATTTTTGCAAAATCACAGTTAATTATTAAAATATAAAAACTACAGCTTAACACCCTCCGCAAAGAAAAGCTAACCAAATCAACCGAAATGCTCAAAAAAAAACTGTATGATCCAACAAATTTTTTGTCTTAATATGAAGTGTGAAATTCCGAGGTACCTAAAGTTTACTAGAACCCATAGAAGTCATAATATGAGGAAATAAAAGGTGTTATGGAAAAAGAAAAAATGTTCAAATTGACTTGTTTTAAAATATAGCATGCGAAGCGGTTATATCGTACAGTATTTCGGAAGCTAGGAGCAGTTACATAAGGGTAAACAACAATTTACCTTGAAAGCCACCTGTGAACGACCGGCTTACAGTAACCACTTCCAAACAACCTATTATTTCCGAAAAATCCACGATATTTCGCGGGGCACTGGTGTCCTTTTCGCGTGCGACACGTCAAAAAAAATCCTTTTTCAACCGAATCCGACCGATCTTCAACTTTATTCATATCTCATTTGCGGGAAAAGCGTGGACGCGAATTTTTCCCCCTTTCTCAAAACGCCGCGACCGTGCGCCGTTACGGACTCAAACAAACAACATCGATAACGGACGCGCTTTTCGCCTATAAATCGCGCGCTATTTTTAGACCTGATGTCACGGATCTGGCCGGCTATTGGTCGGAGATGACGGCATCGCGTCGCGATTGGTGCGGTATGTTGTTTGCCGGTTGTACGGCGGGACCCGTTGAATGCCGCAGCGCGCGCCAAGCTGAAAAATTATAATGCTACATAGTCTTTAAAGAATTATTATAATTTCTCTCGGTGCCGTATCGGAGCAGGATTTGTTTAGAGATTTTATGTTAGAGTATACAGGCGGAAATTTATTTAAAATAAATAGAAATTATATGTAGGTATACATGTTGCTGCTGTGTGTCTCCTCTATTTTATAAAATAGACGCGGGCTTATTTATAAAATATGGTAGCGCATATTAAATATATTTGTGTTAATATACAGGGTGATTCAAACATATTATCAAACTAATGTTGTATAATACGTTGTATTGCAGGGTTGACATGATTTAAATCGTGATTTAAATACAACTTTTTTAAAACTTTATTATAAATCGAAAAATAACTGTAAAGTTTGTAAAAATGTGTCCTAGAAAACTATAAAAAATATTTCTACAACAGATATACCCTATATCTATTCACCAAATAAAATGCTATACTAAGGGTCAGCATTTTTGGTCTTGGGTGCCGGTTTTCATGTGTGCGAAGAGTACGGTCAACACGCTTAGTAAAATTAGATGTACTGAATAAAGACAGAAGGCGAGTATTTCCCAAGCGCATGGAATCTAGCGTCAGATTAAGTAGTTATGTAATAAATACTTCGTATTTTTGCTCACTCCGACTTACTAGATTGCCATAACGACTCGCTCCTGTACAGGGTGAGTCAACGTTAGAGTAAAGTCCATTATCTCATTTGTTTCGAAGTTTACAAAAAAAAAATGTTAAATACAAAAGTTATAGGGAAGATTAAGATACACATTTTAAAATTATTATAGAGTATACAGGGTGCTTCAAAAAAGTGTGGCTAATATAACATATGTTTTTTTAAAGGCAACGCCCTATTTTTTATTTCATTTTTAGATTCTACGTAAAATTCTATAACTTTTTTATACATAACGTTATATACCTAAAATTAATAGTTTTTGTAATATTTGAATTTGTTTATACAAATGTTAAATTGCAGTGTGGTAAAAAATTGTCAGTGGAACCATTGTTTCTGAAGTTGGAATACCAAAATTTGGTATGACAGTTCTATAGGGATTAAAAAGACGATATATGTTAAGATATTTTAGTTAAACGCTACAGGGTGTTCAAAATATATTTATAAATTTCAACTACTTAAAATTAAAAAATCTCAAATTTTTTAAATGGTACACCCTATATATTTTGATTTTTTCTGATAGATTTTGCAAAGCTCTTCAACTTTTATTAAGTATGTCATATACCTATTTTTAATAATTTGCGATTTATTCCAATTTTTTCTATTTTTACCCATATCTTTAATACAATTACGCTATAACATCATAGTTACCATAACAAAAAATAATAATTATTATCAAAATTTCATATGTCTTTTAAGCAAGTTAAGAACAAAAGGTGAATTTTAGTTTAATTTGTTGTAATAAGTATAAATGGTAGAGGTAGAGGTAATAGTTTCACATTTTCCTGAAAATGGATTAGTCAATGTGACTGATATACACGAACAAGCCAAAATAAACATATTTTTGGTTCAGTACTATATATTATATAGTACTTTGCTAAGTACTATAAGAATAGCAGCCCCGGATCTACAAATTTTTTGAACCGGGGCAAAAAATTGATAGTAGCGCCCCCTCTCTCCAGCGCCAGCGTTTGAAATAAATTAATTTAAAAAACTTACAAATATCTCAATATACAGTTCATATCAAATAAACTTTTAGTCACGTGATTAATCTTGACCGGCACAGAGTTGTCCACTTTTATATATTTTCTTTTAATCAAAATATTTTAGGTAACAAAAATAAATTAATTATAAATACAGTACGTCTGTCCGTTCTGGGGCTACGGGGTATCCGTGAGAGGGGAAACGATATTCTCTCGATGTTTTTCGTAAAAAATTAAACGACGCGTCCCATCAATAAAAATTCGACAAATTTGCAATAGCCAATAAAATGAGTGGGCGGAGCGATTTGCGGTGACGTACTCGTCAAGTCGACGTATAAAATATATTGCTGTTTATTTAAATGTTTTTTGCCCGCATTCCTTTCATAGACACAGATCGAGCAGACGAACTGTATATAAACAGTTATTATTTACATCAACAGAACCCACCTTCTTAACAGCACTTAAGGGACATAAAGGACCATTACTGCTGCTTTCCCATAATAACTTTGCGATGAGTTTGTTACAGCTATTAAGCTATCTTGTACACTTCGCACTAAAAGAGGTTCTAAAAAGAACAATGTTCGACTGCAAAGTGTGCTAGTAAACATTTTCGAGCTTAAAGTATCAAAGCACTATTTATTTAACCCAAAAACTCGTAATACAAAACTAAAGTGTTAAAACGAATGACAATGTCAGGAAATAAATAAATAAATGCGGCAACTTGACATTTTTTTACAGCAGAGCTACCAACTGAATCCCCAGCGCGAATGTTAAATTCTAGTTAATCAGCACGGCGCCGGCGTCGAGTATGTCCATGGTTGGCAACAATGAATTTAAAAATCGCGCCCTCGATTACGTAACTAAAAAAGGCTAAAAGTTTAATTGATATGAAATATAGGTAGGCATTTTTCGTAAACGGAGTTTAGAGATTCATTTAATTTTAAAACGTCCAGTTAGTTTTAAAATTAAATGAATACTTGATAGAAGAACGTAAGGTGCATACTAGGCGCTTTGTAGAGCAATTTTTTTGATTTTCAACCATATTATATTATGATTTTGGCACCCCCTGACACTGGCGCCCGGGGCAGGCGCCCCGGTTTGCCCCCCCTTAGATCCGGCGCTGAAGAATAGATGTAGATTATCTAGAAAACATTTTCATATTATATTATATTATAATATTTTCAGTGTGTAATGGGACGGTTTTGTGGCAGTAGTAATATTGACTTTACGAAATGAATTATAAACCAGAATTACTACGAGAAAAAAAAATTACTGTATGTCGGCGAAAATTTCAATATCAGTAGTCGTCAACAATTAGGTAATCTAGTTAGTATTACCCTAATCTGTGGCTATTCGGCCCGCCGGAAAATCCAAATGTCATCTTTCATAATATAGAAATACACCAAGAAATTCACGACTACGATTTTAGTTTATTTGAGCAAAGTTAGTTAATTTTGACTAATAATAACAATTGTAACTAATTATTAAACTACTTGTTAAAAATAAGTAATAAATATGTTTGTTTTGTCACGGCAACTATGATGTTATAGCAAGGTTATGGCGTAATTGTATTAAAAATTAGGGTAAAAATAGAAAAAATTGGAATAAATCGCAAATTATTAAAAATAGGTATATGACATACTTAATAAAAGTTGAAAAGCTTTGCAAAATCTATCAGAAAAAATGAAAATATATAGGGTGTACCACAGTAGTTGAAATTCATAAATATATTTTGAACACCCTGTAGCATTTAACTAAAATATCTTAACATATATCTTCTTTTTAATCTCTATAGAACTCTCATACCAAATTTTGGTATTTCAACTTCAGAAACGATGGTACAACTGACAATTTTTTACCACACTGCAATTTAACATTTGTATAAACAAATTTAAATATTACAAAAACTATTAATTTTAGGTATATAACATTATATATAAAAAAGTTATAGAATTTTACGCAGAATCTAAAAATAAAATAAAAAATAAGTGTTGCATTTAAAAAAACATATGTTATATCCGCCACACATTTTTGAAGGACCCTGTATACTCTATAATAATTTTAAAATGTGTATCTTAACCTTCCCTATAACTTTTGTATTTAACATTTTTTTGTAAACCTCGAAAAAAATGAAATAATGGACTTTACTCTATCGTTGACTCACCCTGTACAGGGTGGGTCAAATTCGACGCTTTTAAATGGAAACACCCTTTTCTATAGGAGATAGACGAAAACTAATATCGGTGTCTGGAGCTCAATTTTTGTCAAAAACATGATGGTGAAAACGGCATAGCGATATTTGTTACCGTTTCGGAGTTACGGGGTGTTTTTCAAAAATATGCATTTTTAACAAATCGCTGTAACTTTTTTGCTATGGAAAATTTTGTATTTTTATGAAAACATTTCCTAAGCACCTTTTTACGTAGAATTTAAAGGTTTAAGTATAATTTTTTTAAAATCAATAATTTAAGAATTATCAACAGAAAATTTGATTTTTTATATGGGACACCCTGTATATTTTTAATTTATTGAAAAGAATTTAAAATTACCTTTCCAAAAATATAACACACTTGATATTTTGCTCGATTCCTCTTCGAGATATAGAGTATATAAAAATTCGCCCGCTTTAAATAAGTAGGCTTTGAACGGCACAGGCTGTAATGCAAAAAAATTCTAGCTGTGAGCATCAATTAATACGAAAATAATATTTGCTATGAGAGATGCAGAATTTTCTAACAATTTAAAATATATTTAACCAACATCAACACATTTAAACTATATGTAATAACAATAAAAATAAATAGTAAACCAAGACATGAGATTTTGCTACAGGTGTTCGACATATCGACCATCTTCTGTTATGGACAGACGGGGCAGTTTTTGAACATTTCTCGCGAAATTCATCTCAGTGGAAGTATTTCTAATTCTTGTCTAGATTATACGGAAGAATAAGGAACTTATTACTTTATTCTTCCGCAAATATATCCATAGGATTAGATCTATGGGCACTAAGTCAGGCGGCCTCGTCGGCCAACGGCTGGGCTATTCAATTATTCTTGAAATTGGCTGCAAAAATTTGTTAATAACTTCAGCGTTCAAAGGCGGTGCGTCGTCTTGCTGGAAAAATATGTTTTCGAGTTCCATTAAGGGCATATCATCAATAAGGGGT